GTTACAAGTATTTGCAAAAAATAGCGTTGTTACGTTGTAAACACATATTTTGGGAATACAAAACACTTTTCAGAATTGGAAAAACCATCTGTATGTTGAGTTATAAAAATTTCTGTAAAGGTGATTTTTCTTAATTGATAAATAATAATTTCGCATTTGTTAATTATTATAAAAATGATCGGCAAAAATCTTTACTATTTGATTTTATTATTTGATTTCCCCTATGTTTGTGACTATACTAATATCTAACACCCCAATGACACATGTACATACACTATGTGTTTGCTAAGAAATTTTCTACTATTAAATATACCACGTGATTCCCCCTACCCTTAATAAAATTAGCCACAAACCTTAATTTTAACCCTTTTTTGCTCACCAATCTCCACCAAACTTGAGACACAAATTTTTCAAGACTTATTCCTTCTTTTTAAAAAAATTAGGAAATCTTGGTGTTAAAGTTTATCAACCAAATTACCACATTTGGAAATTAATTATCTATGACTTCTGATAATCTCCTGCCCGCAATTTTTTCCTTTTTGTGTATTTATTGATAAATAAATTTATCAAAATTTAATATGTTTTTGGAGTTTTTTGCCATTTTCAGTAAACTTTAATAAACAACAATCCACATAAAACTATACCTATATGAAAACTTACAATATTTTACATCTTTTCAACCACTCACCAAGTTTATAAAGGTAATATTGGTTAAAAATCTTAGCTTTGAAATAAAAAGTAATGCTGTTTTTGAATAAACATAGCTTGACATAGAGAGCCTCTATCAAGATGGGAGAGAGCTCGTTAGAAAGCTATAGTTTTATTTTTGATTAATAATGATGTTTGAATTTGTTATAAAAATAATGAGATATTTTAAAAACTGATTTGTTACACAAGTTGAATTTTTTATTTTATATATGTAATTACAATTCCTGTGACATATTGTTTGACTGTTATATTCCAATTTATATATAAAATTCGTTGAAACAAAAATTTTTAATTAATAAAAAAGGGGGGACAGAACCAAAATTTGTTGAAACAAGGTTTGACTGTAGTATTTCTTTATTGAATGTTTTTAATACATATGCTTGTTTTTTCATTATATTATTTACTTTTCAACTTTTCATTGACTTCATCAAATCAACACTTCACCTTTGATCATGAATTATCATCCATTATAACAATAACAATATAGAGTTTATTGCACCAAGCTGAGAATTAATATTTATATTTTGTAAAACAAATAAAATGAATAGTTTGAATAAAATGAATAATAACAATGATCCTAATAAGTAAAATTTTAATCTACACATGTAACTGGAAAATTGCCAATTCCCATAATTTTTATCATTCTAAAACTATCAGAATGCCCAGAATTTTATAATAGGATTTTACACCCTGTTTTGGAGGTAGTTTTGACTGGATTAATGCTTTGTGGTTGTTGTTGTTTGTCATTATTAACAGACGCTACTTTTTGAACTGGATAAATGTTTTGTTATTGCATGTCATTATTATTAGTAGAAGTTAACTGAACCGGATAAATGCTTTGTTGCTGCTGCATGTCATTGGTAGAAGCTACTCTTTGAACTGGACAAGGCTGTTGTACATTATTATTAGTAGAAGCTATTTTATGATATTCTTGTTTTCTTGTTTTCATTTTTTTATTTTTATTTTTTATTTTTTATCTTTGATTAATAATGATGTTTGAATTTGTTATAGGGGTGTTCAAAGTTGTTCTGTTCCTGTTTCCTGTTCCTTGTTACATGGTCAGAATTAAATTTTATGGG